AATATTATAATGAGCTAGAGCTAATGACGTCAGAAACTACCCACTCCTGAAACCTCCTGATTTATCTCCTGGATTCAGACTGAGGCGGCCCACAAAAACATGACTGAGTCATTTTTTTTCACACTTTTCCTGCTGATAGGCCCTCCACAGTCCCAAATGTACATAATCAAATGATTAAAAACTTGGTTTTGCATAATATGTCCCCTTTAAGGAGGCCTGTGTCTGGGTATGGGCAGAAAGCCAAAATAAGCCGCTCAGACTCGGCCGTTTTTTGCTCCGCCGGGGAGCAAAATGACCTGGAACTCTGAGCTTATTTCACGCTGTGAAAAAGTGAGAGAAGCAAAGATGACAGCGAACATGAGAATCTTTGAGACACTTTAATGGTAACAAAAAGGAGATCTGAGGGTGAAGACCCCAAGAACGAAACAGCCGATGGTCCACCCAACATTATTTCCATCAATTCACAACTCAATTCAATTCCAGCTCCCCGAACAGATTGACAGCTTTTCTCTTTTGTTTTCCACCTTTTTGATTTCTCAGATCACAGATATTTCTCTTATTTCATTTCCAGAAGAGCTCCTCTGACATTCGTGTCTTCTTAGTGAATTCACTCGATATTCTTTTAGATATTTAACCCTTTCATGCATGAATTATGATCATTTCAGTCAGGATTTTTTTCAATTTTTTAAAAAACATTATAAAAAAGTATTATTTTTTTGGGGGGGAAACTGTGTTCATTCATGGATTTCTCCAGATGTCCACAAACAGTACATGTTTTAAAATTTCTTACTAATAAAATACTGTATGTTACAGTGTTGAAATATTTTTACACATAATTTGGCATGTAAGTCTCCTCCTATCCAAATATTCAGTACTATCTCATCGCTTTTCTCACTCCAGCTCATTCAACCACTTGATTAATTTGAGTCTTTCTCAGCTCTAACAGTAGACTATTGTGGACAATTAAAAAAATGTTTAATGCATCATGCTCCAGGGTTCATTTCAAATATAAAAACCCATACACACACAAGAAAATGTCTTTTAAATAGCTGTCCACTCTAGTGACCTCTTTGCATGAAAGGGTTCATTTATGGGCTCTGGCTCTTTGGAAATGTCGGCCTCACGCATGGGTCCAGGGTTTTTCAGGCTCTGTGATCAGATGAATAAAAGAAATTCTGCATAATTTTTTGTATTATTGTTGCATTATTGTTGGCCCACTGCCAGAAGGTCACTGGTTCGAATCCCAGTCGGAAGCCTTTCTGTGTGGAGTCTGCATGTTCTCCCCGGGTATTTCTGGGTTCCCTTTGAGTAGATCTTGACTTTTTTTAATTTTATTGTTTTTTTAAATTAATTTTTTAAAATTTAAAAAAATTTTAAATTTTATGGTTTGTTATTTTTTTGTTATTATTATTTTTATTTATTTTTATATATTTTTATTTTTTAAATTATTTCTTTAAATGTTTTATTTTAAATTTTTAAATGTTTAAATGTTTTATTTTAAATTTTTAAATGTTTAAATGTTTAAATGTTTAAATGTTTGAATTTTTAAATTTTAAATTTTAAATTTTATTTATTTATTTTTTAAATGTTTTTATTTTTTTATTTTTATTTTTTATGATCTTAACCTTTTAACATCTACAGTTAGAAGGCGGGAATTTTTTTTTTTTAAATTCTTTTAATTCCCTCAAAGCAATGACAGCTTCATTTAGCTTAGCTTAGCTAAACTTGATTTGATAAACCTGCTCATGGCAGAAATAAAGCTTTCAGGAGTCGTTTGTCCATTCACAACTTAGGATCATAAATGTACCTTTTTAGGACCTCTCAAAGTACAAATATGTGCCTTAGGGTCCAGTTATTAACTATATGGGGTACACAAGCCAAGAAAGACCCTCAGAAAACATGAATGTGCTCCTATTTTTGGCACATTTGTGGCACAAACTGTGGAGGTGCGGCTCACTTTAGCCGTTCGTGCGACGTCATCGCCCTGTCTTTTTAATCAGCAACGTAACCGTGGTAACCGTACCCTAAACACAGCGGATTTAGCTCAGGGTCCAAAATAAAAATTATTTTGAAAAGCAGTCGTTGAATTAGTGAACGTCTTCTCTGGTGTTTAATGAGATGTGTGTTGCACACATGCTAACAAGGACGCATGCTAACAAGGACGCGTGCTAACAAGGACGCATGCTAACAGGGACGCATGCTAACAAGGACGCGTGCTAACAAGGACGCATGCTAACAGGGACGCATGCTAACAAGCACCCATGCTAACAAGGACACATGCAAACAGGCACGCATGCTAACAAGCACGCATGCTAACAAGGACGCATGTTAACAAGGACGCATGCTAACAGGCACGCATGCTAACAAGCACGTATGCTAACAAGGACGCATGCTAACAAGCGCGCATGCTAACAAGCACGCATGCTAACAAGGACGCATGCTAACAAGG